AGAACCTGTGCCATGTGATAACGATGTAATTAGGTCAGATTGAGTTAGACCTATCGGACTGCGCCATCTAGAGTTTCATGGCAGAACTCTGTATTTAATAAAAAAGTATGTATGTACTTTGTGTAGCGCCCCCTGCCCTCTCAAGAGTTACACCTCCCAAGTTCTGTTAGGGTGGAGAATATGTTTCTCAAAAAAATACTCAATTTATTACTCCCCTCTAGTATTAACTTTACTTATGAGCTAAGCTATGGTTTATCTGTGTGTTACAGGATGGAATGGATGATGTTAATGGACCTACGGTAATAGATCTCTCCACTTCAGGTAAGTATAGGTAAGTACCCTTTGTTTTAGGTGTAAAATATAATAATATGATACAGTAAATGAACTCACAAAGAGGTATAAAAATTATATTGGGGTGTATTAACACATAAATATATAAATAAAAATATAAATAGAGGAATAAAATAGAGAAATATTTCAAAAAATAAGTAAATAAATATATAAATAGGTAAATAAATAGTGTATAGGAGAGTAGAAACAAAAACTACTCACTGTTTATGACAGGGTCACAAGGAACAATAAACCTCCAATAAAGAGAGCTGTTCACCTTCAGGTGACTCTGTGACTTATTTCAAATATTTAGCAATATCAGTATTAAATGTCAATCAATGTGTATCACAGACTATGTACAGAGTGATTAAAAATGCAAAGAAGAAAAATACATGGCTTACGTAAGCATTCAGATTTCAAACACCTCTAAAACTAATGGTTTGTGGGCCCACATACACACACATGCATACATCAACCCCACTGTTGCAGCCCTGATTCGTTGCTCGGGTGCGTTGTGGCTGAATCAAAACACAAAACTGGCCTCTTCACTCTATAGAGCCAAACAAAATAATAAAAAGTACTTCAATCTCGTCATGGATGCAATCAAGCATTATGTGCTGTCCACTCTGGTTCTCACTCCATCCGACGCTGGCTGCAGATGCTTCCGATCTACTGTCCTCTCTCCCTTGGTGCCAGAGGAACTCTCGATCATGAGGAGATCACAGCGCTATCTGGGTCTGCCTCCAACGATGTCCTCCTCCGAATCACTAATCACATCTCAGCTAAATATTAATGATAAATGTTAACTAGATGTGTTCATTACCTGTCTAACGATGTGTTAATGCTGAAATATACTAATAAAAAGGTTTGTCTTTTCAAATCTTCTATCGCGTGTCATTAAATTTATCAAGTTGGTTCATGTGGTTTATGTTTCGCGCTTCAGAAATGTGACGTAATTTCCGGTAAGGGACCATAGTGAGCACCAATGCTCCCTAGTTTTTAAGGTGCATTGTGGGATTTTTCAGGGAGTGAACATTCCAGTGCACTGGAAAGATTTCTCGATTGAGATGGCCCTTAAAATGGCTGACTCCCTGATCAGTTCCCTGACTACTGAGCTGATTGACCCACAGTCTCTACCGTTCAACAAACTTTTCGTTCAAACATAAACAAACATGGTGAGTACAGTCTCGCGTGACACTATGTCCCGAAAAACTCACTCAAACTAAAAACAAAACGTATTAAAAACACCCATAAAGTGAATTCCTGCCGAAAACACTCACAATGCAAATAAATAACCCCTTTACCGGTGGGTTTTACCAGAGAAAACTCTAACGATCATTCTGTGTCACAGCTCTTCTCCGTTACTTCAGCTCTTTTCCTTTTCTTTCTGAATGACCACTAATCATCCAATAAGATTCCTCTCTGCAGTATAGGAGGACAATAACTTTTACAGCCAATCAGATAAGAAAGGCTTTTCTTAACCGTATTTGCATACAGACTTTATAAAGGGGTTCACACTTTTAAAGGGACAGTTACATTCAAACACAAACCCGTGTATATGTCCTATTGAAACAGGCATGTAAAGATTTATAAATATATTCAGTAACCCAAATTTACCCTGGGTTACACACACACACACACATATATATATATATATATATATAGCTTTGGATAAAAGCGTCCACTAAATGACTAAATGTAAATGTAATGTAAATATATATACACATACATTTACATTACATTTACATTTAGTCATTTAGCATAAGCTTTTATCCAAAGTGACTTACAAATGAGGACAATAAAAGCAGTCAAAACTAACAAAAGAGCAACAATATATAAGTGCAAATGACAAGTCTCGGTTAGCCTAGTACATTTTTTTGTTTACTCGCCAGACTGATATACTATTTTATACACACACACACACACGCACACAAAGAAAAACAAGTAGATAAAATAGAAAAAATAGAAAGCTAGTGTTTGTTTTTGTTTAAAAAAAAAAAAGAAGAAGATAAATATAGATAAAGTAGAATTAAAATAGAATAGAAAGTGCTAGAGTTAGAGGGTCAAATAAAGGTGGAATAATATAGTAATATATACAGTATTTACATACATATATTTTTTTCCCACTACATTTCATTATGAATTTTTTTTTCTTTAATACACATTGGCCACAATTAATCATACCCCATTATTCAATGCTTTTTGCAAACTCCTTTTTGTCAAGATAACAGCTCTGAGCCTTCACCTATAATGCCTGATGAGTTTGGAGAACACCTGACAAGAGATCAGTGACCATTCCATCATACAGAATCACTCCAGATCCTTCAGATTCCCAGTTCCATGTTGGTGCTTCTCCTCTTCAGTTTACCCTACTCATTTTCTATAGAGTTCAGGTCAGAGGACTGGGATGGCCATGGCAGAAGCTTGGTTTTGTGCTCAGTGACCCATTTTTGTTTTGATTTTGATTTTGATGTTTGTTTTTGGATCATTGTCCAGTTGGAAGATCCAACCTTGGCCCAATATAAGATTTCTAGCAGAGGCAGTCAGGTTTAGATTTTTTATCTATTCGTATTTGGTAGAATCCACTAAAAATAGGCCCACAACATTAAAGATACAGCAGTATCTTTCATTGTACACATGGGTACTTTTTCAACCCTGTGTGCACCAAACCCATCTTGAGTGTATGCTGCTAAAAAGCAATTTTTTTTGTTTCATCTGACCATAGAACCCAGTCCCATTTTAAGTTCCAATAGTGTCTAGCAAATTAATATGCTGGAGTTTGTTTTTAGATGAGAGAATTTTCTTTTGTTGATCAACATGTAGGTGCTGTTTAATTAAAAAAAAATTGGGGGCTTTCTGACCCCATGACTCAACTATTTTCTGCAATTCTCCAGTTGTGATCCTTGGAGACTATCCTCTTTGCCTTGCTTTAAGACAAAATAGACACACATCCTCTTCCAGGCAGATTTGTAACATTTTCTGTTGATTGGAAATTCCTAATTATTACCCTGATTGTGTAAATGGGAATTTCCAATGCTTTAGTTCTTTTCTTACAGCCACTTACTAATTTGTGAAGCTCAACAATTTTTTGCTGCAGATCAGAACTTTATCCTTTGGTTATACTCATTGTGATGGATGATTAAGGGAATTTGGCCTTTGTGTTCCCTCATATTTATATTTCATGGCTGGGTAATTTCATTTTCCTAGTCACCCTGGCGTGCTAAAAAATGGAAATATGAATGGGAATATACTTTAGAGATATTTTACTCATAAGAATTTCAAGGGGTACCAATAATTGTGTATTAGAGAAAAAATATTTATTTCATAAAGTGATTTTCCCCCATTTTCACAATTATATATATATAATTGTTTGTGCTTTAATAGTTGAGTCAGATTGTGTTTGTCTATAATTGTGAGTTATATTAAGTTCAAACCATATTCTATTAATATACAATGTATAAATCCAGATATTTCAATACATTCATGACAGGTACATTTGTTTCCAGGACCTGAAAAGCCCTCAAATATAGATATGGACATGTCCTTCACATTGATTAAACACCTAAGCAGCAATACCACTATTCCCGAAAAATCTTCTGCATTATTCTTTTCATTAGAGAAAAGCCAAAGAGAGTTTTAGAAACACAACTAAGGTGGATCCTGTTACATATGTACATACAATTGAATCTAAAAGATTCATTAAGTAAACAGAAGAACATTTAGGTGCTATTTCTGGTATCTGGTGAAATGTTAGGCATAGCTATATCTCAAAATATTTAACTGATAAGTAATATATCTATTCTATTCTTGCTCTCCGCTGTTTCATCTGATAAAGCTTTAGTCTGTACTGAGATTTCTGAGATTTTGAGGGAAGCCCTGAAACCTAAACCCACTGGCCACTTATATTGTGGATGCATTACAGCTGCATTCACTGCTAAACTCATAGGGTTGTCTGACTGAAATCCATTTTGCTGTGAAGAACACTGATATAAAATGTCTTCATTGTAGCTTTAATTAGTCCTCTATGAGGCTAAAACTTTTATTATGGACCAAAGAAAAATCTGATTGACAAAATATACCTGAATAACAAATTCAAATTCCACCTCTTGTCATGTAACAGTCATATGCATTTTCAAAATATTTTCATTTTTGTATATAATTACTGAAATCATCAAATTGTGACACTAATATAGAAACATTCATAATTCTGTTTTGCTGAAAATATAGAATTACACAGTCACTGATTACATACTGCACATACGGCATACTTTTACATTGTTTTATATTATTATTTCATGTTTTAACAATTTAACAGTTATATTATTGTCTATTGTTGTAATATTGTTTAGCTTTTTTTTTTTTTTTTTACAGCTTGCATGATTTTGCATTAATTTGAAATACTAAAACGTGCATACCCAGTAAAATAATTTTAAAATAATAACATGTATTTAATTCTACTGGTGAAATCAGACATTATGAGGACTTGCAAAAATTCACTGTAATATAAATTATATTCAGAATTATATAGTGGTTTATTATCATCTTTAAACCTTTAACCGATGAAAATTTATTTGGTGTCAAGCACATGAAAGGAGTGATATCTTGCGCATTTTAGAAACAAACAGGTTAGATACAGTAGACATTCCCTGGCATTCAGGCGTGACTCTGACCTGCGACTGGTGCTCCTCACTTCTCACCACTCCCTCAACATGCAGAAGGTTCTTGGCCACACCCACACAGGGCAGATCTGACAGAACACCAAGATGACATGCCAAACCAAACTCTATGGAAAATAAGAGACAGAGAGAGTCAGAGAGAGAGGACTGCCTACTGGGTTCTTGTAGATTCTTTGATTTATTCAGAAGATACTGCATCACTCACCCCGATAGTGGAATAGTCCATTCCCATCCACAAATAGCACCTTCAAAGGAAAAAGAAAAATCTCTTTAAAAGGTGAAATCTTTCTTTAAAGAGTGTTAAAAGGACAGTCAACCCAAAAAGGAAAATTCTATCATCACATACTCACCCACGTTGTTCCAAACCCATAAGACTGGTTAATATTCAGAATTAGTGGTCGACCGATATATCGGCCGATATTTGGAATTTTATAAAATATCGGCCAATGAGTTTTTCTGTTTGGCCGATGTGTTCGAGGCGGGACTTTTATTTTGACGGCGCTGAGATCGACAGCGCCTGAGCGCACACCGTTCACATTCTCCCTCGTTCGCTGTCGTCGTTCAGTTCTGTCTAATATGGATAGAAGTCTATCTAATAATCAGATAGAACTGTTAAAGTGCAAATTGAATGCTGACAGGAGGAGAGTTCTGCTTGACGATGGATGCGCGATCGACAAACTTTAAACTAGTGATTTCAAATTATGCTGCACTTTATGCATTTGCCCACTGTCATATTCATGTCATTTTCATTGCGTGCTATGTAAAATGAGTGTTACCTTGGCTTTATTTGAAAAAATAAAATAAAATAATTCCCAATGCTCACAAACGGAATACTGAGTGCCCTGTTGGTTACAGTGTTAGTATTTACTTCCTTTTTAATGATCGGCATTGGCTGATAAGTGTTTCTGTTTGGCCGATGTGTTCGAGGCGGGACTTTTATTTTGACGGCGCTGAGATCGACAGCGCCTGAGCGCACACCGTTCACATTCTCCCTCGTTCGCTGTCGTCGTTCAGTTCTGTCTAATATGGATAGAAGTCTATCTAATAATCAGATAGAACTGTTAAACAAAGGAATTAGATTGTATACAAAAAAGTATTATAACGATTGTTTTAATATTATTAGTAATAGAAAGGCAAACAACATAATACTTTCTCATTTGCCGTCAGCATTCAGCAAATACGCATTTATATAATTTAAACAAATCTTTGAATGACTAATGAACATTTAATTTCACAAACCTTGCAGACTTAGTCGAATCTAGTTGAGATCTTGTGAAGTGTGCATGTGACTCCTGCATGATCGCGTGTTGTTCTCTGGGTGACGGTCGGTCCGTGTGAATTGAATG